AAATTTCAAACATCCGCAGTAAATCTCGATGCTTGTTATCTCAACCAACTTAATCAACTATTTTTTCCCCCCTCGAATTTTGCTCATTCTCGTTGAAACACACGCCTGGCTTCGAAATCCTACTGTGGCGTTCTACCCGCTACTTGTTTCGCTGTAGGGCGAAAAATTGGGCAAAGGCGGAGAGGCCATTTTGCGGATTTCACCGCGGAATAGTCGTGGGAAATGTAAAAGCGTTTCCTCGTTACAACAGCGCGTTGTGGACTCATCACGCAACAAATACGTTTTTATCCACGGCGTAGCGAGAATTAAATTTTCCCCCATTTGTACTTTTCCCTCGAACAGGCGAGCGAGCGAGCAACAGAAGAGGGACAAAACGCAGGAGAAGTAGCCAACCGACACTGAGGAACAGAGGGAAAAATTTTTTTTTTTCCCCCCCCCCTCTCCCCCCCCCCCGAAAAAAAAAAAAACAGAGAGAAAAACGGAATAAAAGGGGGGAAAAAAGCGCTGTACCGGTACACGCTTTTTATCTCAAGATCACTGGCTAAATTTTAATTACGGGAACTCAGCGTCCCGGGGTTGAGAGTGTATAATTTTTATAACGCGGCTTATTCCGCTGGCCGCGGTGAATGGGGAAACGTAAACACGGGGAACGCAGTTTTCGCGATGTTGGACAGACGAGTGAAATGCTGCGCGGTGTTATCGATGATTTGCCTCGATGGTTGGGACAGTTTTGGTCCTTTTCTTTTCTTTTTTAGATGCAGAAAGGGATTAAATGAAGAGTTGCGCATTTTGGAATTAGATTTGTAGGTATGATATGAAATATGATGATATTAACATTTTTTCAACTACGTGGGGTTAAATTAACCTCAGCGGTTTTAACACTGAATAAATTTTTGTTTTATTTCGATCTGTCATTGCAAAAACGAAGAAACACTATTTGACAGTGCAATTTTAGTCAAATTATGTATTTGTAGATGAATAATTTTCAGGGTAAATTAACCCCAAAGGGTTAATGATTGTGAGGTTTTTGGTGGAATTTATAGATACATGAATGTAAGATTGAATTAAGTATACTGAATATTTTTGAGTAAATTTTAATTACACAAAATAATTATTAACCCTCCTCGAACCATGTTGGGTTAATTTAACCCCAGGGATTTTAACACTAAATGAATTTTTGTTTTATTTGGATCTGCCGTTGCAAAAAGGAAGAAACACCATTTTAAAGTGCATTTTTAGTCAAATAACGAATTTGTAGATGGATAATGTTCAGGGTAAATTAACCCCACATGGGTTAACCCCGGAGGATTAATGATTATGACGTTTTCGGTGGTATCTTAGAGGTATATATGAAGGTAAGATTAAATTAAGTGTACTGAGTATTTTAGAGTAAATTTTAATTACACAAAATAATGATTTTGGTAATTGTGAAATTATTAGAATTATGGTTAAAATATTGAAGAAGGTAGAATTCATTTTTATACACTGTATTACGAAAGAAATTCGCGTCGAACATTATGCAACTGTAAGTAAAGCAATTATTAAAATTGATTACGTATAAAGCATGTAATTTACGTTCCTTTTCTATACGTTATCGCGAATCAAATAGTTTAAATAGTAGAAAGTACTGGTTCTTTAGCACATTCTTTCCGTATTCCTAATCGTTATATTATATCGCGAAAAAATTGAAGTGGAAAGATGCAAAAAGGTCAATTTATTTGTTCGAGATAATTGTACGTAAACTGCGGCACATTGTTGCGGTTTCAGAATGGTCCTGATTCCGACCACTTTTGTGATTTAATATTTAAACGCTGGTGTACGAGTAAAAACGCAAGCTTAATTTTCATGCACGTGTAATTTTCTACCCCGAGCAGGAAATTTTACCCAACGTCATTCTGCAAATCTCCAGTATATATAATCTTTAAAAAATCTATCTTCCACGCCTGCGATATTATCGCGTTAAATGTGTTTAAATTGTACGCTTTAAAAAACAAAAAAAAAGAAGAAAATTGCATTACTGTTGTACCGTCAGATACGGTAAATATCTAATTTGCACTAAATTCTCCGTTAACTATTTTCCAAATAAATGCTTCTAAACACGATAATGAAACGTAGAAGCACCATAACCTAACAATATCTCACTGTAAACATACTCTCGTTCGTGTAAACTATTAAAGTAGAACACTTCTCTCAACAATCTTAATCACTGTGTACTCTATGCACAAATTTAAATAATTCACCACCTCAAGGAATATTTCCATCTCTTCCCATATACCAAATATTAAATTCAGAACACTTCTAAATGTTTGTTATTCGCTGTTTACTCTATCCGTCAATTTAAACAATTTACCACCTTACTAGTATATTATCCCTGCTGTGCTAAATATTCAATTAAAACACTCTTAAATATTATTAATCACTGATTACCCTATACACGCCACTTGAAACAATTTTCCACGCCAACCTAACCTATAAACTCGCCATTCATTCGACGCGTTAAACTAAAACACTGCTAAATACGGTTAATCACCGTTATCTCCCATTAAGATCTAATTACAAAGGATAACATCGATCACGCTAACAACGTATCCACATATCCAAACACTAACCGATCCAACGAGCAATCGATCTTCATCGATTACCGTCTAATCAAGCCACGATGTTCCTGCTCGCTGGCAATGCGGAAGAACACGCGCGCGGAAAGGGGTCGTAAAAGGAGATCGAGCAAAACGACGGCCCAGGTTTCCTGCACTCGCGAGTCCGTCGGTTCCCGTTCGATAGATCACTCTTCCTGATCTGGATGACAAACCATCCGAAGAAGCCGGTCCGGCGAGAAAATCGCGATTTTCTCCATGGCTGGATAGACCGCGATCTGCACGATCCAGAGAGAGAGGAGAGAGATCGAGAGAGATTTCTGTGTACGAGAACGTGACCAAGTCGAGATGCACAGAGGAGGGAAAATAAATTATCGACCGGTTTACCAGGGACACAACGGTTTGGAAGCGCGAGGAAACAAACCGCCAGGAATAATTCTGCGAATGTTGTTCTTGGACGAAAATAAGTATCGCGATATTTCATGGCATTGTGCAACGATCCCCCCGCGGGATTAATAACATGCGATTCACTTTGAAACTCGAGTTTCTAACGCTTCTGTACGGTATAATCGACCCCTAAATAGAACACTCGAATGAAAACTGTACGGGCAAAAAAAAAAGTTCATGATGAAGTTTTTTATTCATCGCTGGTATATACGTAGAGAAGGTAAGGGAAATTCTGCGTTGAATAATGAATTACCTTTGATCCACAGTCCTATTGTGGGTAGAGAATCCGTTTTATTCTTCGAAAGTAAAAAAAAAGAATCGTATGAAAAAGTGAGGTTAGAACGACGTAAAGACAGTTCAAGTGGAATACGGTGTACTATAGAGCTCGAAAGAGGTCGTCGCACAATAATATACGATGGAAAATAAAATCTGAAGAATATCGGTTTATATATTAATTTTCTTCGAGTGCCTTGTCCAAACTTCGCACGTCATCGTGTTGATCAAACGCGTGGATCGTAATCAATATGCTCTCCTCGAAGGTGCACACGCTTGATCAAAGAACGGGTCTCGAGTAAAAGCCACGCTAGACAGACGAGCATGGGGACAGCAGAGAGGGCAACGGGTCTCTCGTGAAAGTTAATCGAGAATTCGCGAGACAGGTGCCAGCAGCTAATAACCGCTGGGTTGAATGATCGAGCGTTGTGTATATCAGAAGAGAACGCGAGCAGAGATCGCATTAGAGGGAGATTTAACTGTTCCGTATAACGAGTAGCGGACGCGGAGATAATTCCAACGTACATATACGTGTCACTCGTATGACTCCAGTAGTAGGAAGGTTCGCGCGGTCGCCGTTACGTGTGTAACGTCTGATAATGCGTGTGTCGTGTGGCGAGGCGTAATCCAGCAGCATATGATGTGACACAGAGCGTATAGCGGGCCCTCCGCGGCTCTCGTGTTGCGGAAAAATCAATAACAAGCGTGGTCTGGCGTGGCGCGTCACTCTCTCAGGTGCTCGGCTGTGAGGAAGGAAGCCGTCCTGCTAACCAGCCTAGCCAGCCAGCCAACCGTCCGATCGAGCGGACGATGGAAACGAGTCACCTGCGGCACACACACTGTGTGTTGTGGCGCACGATCGAATTCCCGCCTTCTCTCTACCTACTCATGTACACACGTTCTAAGCTACAGAGTACCACTTTCTATACACATGCTTACACGGGACACGCGTGTACGTGTACGTACATGTGCAAGTGTATGATGTGTATACGTGCATCAGCAGTACGGTGCACGTAAAGTTCGCGCATACAGAGCGCCTGCGCGTCTCGTGACGAGCAACCCGTACGCGTGTACGTGTACGTACATGTGCAAGTGTATGATGTGTATACGTGCATCAGCAGTACGGTGGACGTAAAGTTCGCGCATACAGAGCGCCTGCGCGTCTCGTGACGAGCAACCCGTGAAAAGAGAAAAAAGAAAGAGAGAGAGAGAGAGAGAGAGAGAGAGAGAGAGAGAGAGAGAGAGAGAGAGAATAACGATGGACGGAAGAGGCAAGTAGGCGATGGAAAGTATAAGAGAGATAGATATAGGAGAGCAAGAGAGAGAGGGAGGAAGAAGAAAACGGGGAAGGAAGAGGAAGAGAGAGAGAGTGAGAAGTATACGGAGAGGGCGCGAGAGAAACGAGCAAATATGGCGAGCGTGGGAGTGGGACGGAGGGTAACCGTAAGTTGATGGGAAGGAAGGAAGGAAGGAAGTATGTCGGATGCTTGGTAGAAATGTGTGTAGGCGCGCGATCTCGCCGCGACGAACGAGAGAAAGGGAGAAGGGTGAAAACGAGGAAGCGATCGGTGGCACGTCGTACACAGGGAGAAAGAGAGAGACAGGGAGAGAGAGAGAGAGAGAGGATCGTGCGTAATGCACAGGCGCGTCGTTAACGAAACAATGTATGGTAGTTAGTGCACGTACCTCGTCTTCACCGGTGGCCACCGTGTTGACGGAGTCCATACTCTGGGAGAGCGGTGCGTCCATGATGCAAGCGAGTTTGCTGGATGGTCCGGGATTTCCGGGGGCTGCGGTTCGAGCGGGTGGCGGCGATGAGTCCACCGTATCCCGTCTCGGGCGTTTTAAAGCGGGCGGCGTTATGGTTGTACCGGCGAAGACGACAGGCGCCTCCAGGACGTATCACTGGAAATAACCCTTTTCTCGCGAGAAAACCAGGCGTATCGCCTCCTTCCTCCTTCTCCACCTTTCCCTCCTCGTTCCTTTCCTTTCCTTTACTGAGCGCGCGCGCGCGCTTACGTACCGTCGTACGTACGTGTGTGTGTGTGTGTGGATATATATGTATATATATGTTGTACTTTCTTCCGTTTTTATCCTCTCTCTCTCTCTCCCTTTTCGTCGTTTCGCTTCTTCCGCTTCCTGTTACGTTTCTTCTTCGCCGCCTGCACCTCCGCCTCCTCCACCACCGCCACCACCTCCTCCTCCTCCAGCCCTACGACAGCGCGGTGCTGCTACTGTTCTCGCTGCACCTGTCACGCGCTGCAAGGGCGTCAGGAAAGACCAATGCAGAGAGAAAGTAAGAGAGAGAGAGGGCCAGAGGGAGAGAGATAGAGATAGTCTGAGGGCTGTAGATAGAATGTGTATGTAGCCTGCAGGTGTTCCCACGCGTCTATTTTAGAGCAATCGATACACCGTGCCCGTGGAGAAGGGCCGAACCCAGAGAACGTGCTCTACAGTGGTACCTCGTCGACACTTGTTCATCTACCGGCAGCAGGTAGTAGCCCATGCGACGTATCAACCGCTCTCTTCTTATTCTTATTCTTCTTCCTCTTCTTCGTCTTCGTCTTCACGTATCGTATAAATCACGCATGTATTCGGCCGATACCGATTAATCGCGTATCAATCGATGATGCGACCGTAAGAGGACGAGCACGGTAACAACGCTGACCGACGATCCGGATCTGGATGTATCCGCGCGACGACGTGCGCAGGCAGACAGAGAGGCAGGTAACGGCGATTCGCGGGAGACCGTAAAGCGCGTTTTTCGCGAGCGCGGCGCGTGCGTTCGTCGTGTGTATTCGCGTTACGTGTACTTGTAATATTTCTCTGCGTAGGTATTTGTTATAGTAGAATTGAGATAGATGTGATGATATGTGTTATGTTGATTTACCTTTGTACGGATAGAATTGCGTGGCGACCGAACCGATTAAGATTGACCGAGCGAAAAATTTGACGAGTAACTCGACGAGGAAGAAACGAAAATACATGGACCGCGATTTACAAATGAACAACACACCGGCCAGGCAAGTAAGAATAATAATAATATTGTTACGTAAGCACTACGATACGACTGGTACGCAGGTTGCCGATAGACTGACGGATGGGGCGCGGTGGGGTGGCCCGCGGGCCACTGGGTCGGGGTAGCTGAGTGGGTGGCACACAAGGGTGGGGGTCACGCACGAGGTACGATGAGGGGGTCAAGGGGCAAGGCACGCGCCTGGAGGGGACTCGCCCTCCCTATTTTACCTTTTTCTCTGACGATGCTGACGGCGATTCCGACGGAGAAAACTCAGCTCTATCCAGCTCTGTCAAATGAAGGCATGACCGAGTTCGTTAGAGGGAAAAAAAAATGAAGGATTCTCCAGCTTCGTCGGGCGCTTCTTTCGATTCGAGGAAACAACGCTACTTCGTAGAAATGTTGACAACAGACGTTGCTATGGATAGTTGTATGTATAACAGAGCGCGCGTTTCAACGCGACGCGACGACATTCAACAATATACGCTAAGGCTAATCGATCGTTTGTAAATTGATGCTCTGCGATGGAACATCAATTTTTATTACTCCTTTTCCCGTATGCGTTACTTTTATACGTGCACGCATGCAATTCCCTTCTACACGTACTCTATTACTTCCTTGAATATTCTATTTAACGGTACGAATGCTTTGTTATAGAATGCGAAACCAAGGGAAACACGAGAGCCAGTAAAATGTGTATTCGTCCTCGAAAGTGTGCCAGTTTCGAAAATTCTAACAACGTTACCATTTTTTAATTGTAAATATTAGAAAACTAACACTTTGCTTTATCGCGAAGTGCAGTATTTTTTTTTTTATGACGTAGAATAATCTAAGAAACACATTTTCCTACTTTATGCTTATCACAGATGAAACGTGCTGTTACGTTAAAATATACCGGTACAGAATTCGACCAAATACAACATAGTCACGCAACTATTTTCGTAACGAAAATGCAATTATATTTATTTTCTCACACTGACATCTGCATTTTCCATAGGGTGCAGATGGTGTCGAACGATACGTGAGAGAGAAAAAGAGAGAGCCACTGCGTGTTGCTCCGTTCTACTTGAAGAACTTCGTAACCATACGCTTTCCCCATGACTAACAGGTGGAAGCCGTTTGGAACGTGCAGCTTTCCTCGAGATTAGCAGGTGGAGGATGCTACTGGTGCTCATGTCGCGGATTATTTCAAACCTGATCTCGAGAAACGGGCCTTCCCCCCTCCTAGAAAGCAGATGGACGACTTATACAAAGCACGCTTCACCAGGATCGTCCCTCTTCTCGTTTCTCGTTTCTTTTCCCCCTTTTTTCCAACATCTCAGCATTACGAAGAACAATGCCGTCTTTAAATGAAATTTTTCCGACGGTAGCTTCCGTTTCTTTTCAAAACGAATTTCCTTGGCTGGGTAGTAATTGAAAGGTTGCTTCGACGATTCGCCTCGATGAAAGTGCGAATCGTAATGAATTTTAATAATGGATAGACCAACCCCGGACACTGCTCGCCCCGGACAAGACTCCGGGATGAAGATATAGAAGATGGACACTTCTCGAAAATTACAAATTAAGAAGGAACGATTTTACAACGGGCCATGGGAAATTCTCTGCGGGAGAGGATTTATAGCCTTGGATATATAGAAAGTAATACGGTTGCGTGCTGTAAGTTCGATAGACTGTAAGGTGTAGCGGAGAAAATGTTTTATTGATGGCTTATTGCTCGAATCGATCGACGGTTCCACGGCAGCAAGTACTGTAACAGTATACGTACGCTCCCCGGTCACTCAAAACTGTGGAAATACATATATTCTCATTTACGATTTTTTTTCATGGCAGATACAAAATTTCATTGTAAAATAACAAACTTTACCTTCAATTGTTTTTCTCTTTTTTTTCCAACGTTGATTGCTAAATATTTTTCTTCAAATTTTTCTACGTTACTGTTGCACGATTTTTCCCGGCTGACAATTCGTACACATGGAAACAAACACAGTTAAACGTTTTATTTGAGTTCTATAGTATAACCATCAAGTAATGGCAATTAAATACAGCTACTCTTACAGATGGCCGTTTACGTAAAGAATATGAAATGACTTGCATGCTATGATTACTGCGGCGCAAATTTAAAATGAACGTGCATGCCGTGCTATTTATTTCGCTCGATAATCGTCCGTACATGCGAAAACACGCATGTTTAAAAAAAGGTTTTATGTAGTTTTTAGAAAAAAGTTCTGTCCCATTTCGTAGATTCCACGATTCTGCGATACGATAGAATAAAAATAGATTACAAAAATATTTAGTAGTTTTGTACGAATTTATAAACGTGTATAAGCTACTTTAATTTTTCGCGATTTATTTACGACAATATACGTAAACGCATTAGTCGGTACGATGACGTAATAAGATAAACGATATCGTATATCACCTTCAAAAGTTAAAAAAGGAATAAAAGTGTGTTCAAATTCAATTAGACGAAACTCTCGGTGGTACTTTTTGTACTGCAGAATTCATTCTGGCATCGGTTAATCTGACTGCAACATCCACAGTAAATATTTGATAAGACCGGTCGATTTTCGCGCTACGAATTGCTAGAAAGACAACCTATACACCAGAAAGATCGTTAAGAGATATGAATAAACTTCATTCTTTATTACGAACCTGTGTTTATTACAAATATCTTTAACTTCTGTAACAACACTGAGTTTTGAACATTCTCCTAATTTGTCACTAGCGATATGTTTATAGTCAGTTACAATTTTGAATGATCTAACCAATTAGAAATGTTACTTAAAAGTCAAATTGATTTCTTGATAATAGATACCTAAATTTATATATATGTACATATAAGTTGAGATTTTTTTTTTTACTTTTAATAAATGTAACTTTTAAATGTACAAGCTAAAAAACACATTTCGAATGAGATCAAGAATTATGAAACTACGTAACCTTTAATAGTTGCAGTCGTTATCTGCTGCCGGAAAAACATGGAGTTATTCACTTCTTCATTGAAATATTCCTTAAATTAAAATATTACCTTTGCATTATAACTATTATGAAATTATAATGTCTTTATTTACAAATATTAAATTATTTCTTAGTAACTATTAAATGTATTATTCTATTGGTTACTTGCATATTGTCCAGTTTTCACATCGAGTTATTTACAAATTTGTATTTTTTGCTTAAAACACAGTATTTATTGATTGTAATGTAAAATAAATTTATTAATTGACATATTACATTTACATCTACGTAAAAATATCACCTGAATTGTAAAAAGAAATTTTCTGTCGCGTTAATGGAAATATGGCTTGCTTACTCGTTAAGAAATGGCGGGAAAATGGCTAAAAATGGGGTATGCAAGCCCATTTGTGGTTTGGTACTTCCTTATGATGTGACCATGTTAGTATGACTGACAGTTAGTTGTAAATGTGTAGTTTTGTTTAGTGATTAATGCAATAGTTCGTTTGTGATAAACGTAAACAAATTTTTTTAAATTGTAAGTAACAAAGGTTAATCAAACATTGCTTTTGACAATTTGTAAAAATGAGTCATTCCTACAATTATTATAATAAATAATTTTATTTTAGGTATTTAAAATGGATAATGACAGTGACTCTGATGTTGGTGATATCTTAAATGATCTATTAGCTAATGGTGATGCAGAAGAATGTCATGTATCACCACCAAAAACAACTCTAAAAGAATTAGATTTTAATTTTTTGGATAGTACACCTAGTATAAGTAATGAAAATAAATCTGATAATCAAGAAAAGAAAAGCCAAGTTTATGATGATACAGTGGATTCTTCAGATGATGAAGACAGACGTTATTTTGAAGAACAAAAATATTCTAATTATGGCCGTGATATAAAATCTTTATTAAAAAAAGAAACTCCTAAGACAAATGAAGATAGATCACTGTCACGTGAAAGTAGCAAAACATTTAATTTTAGTGCAACAAAAAGCAATAGAAATGAAAATATATCAGTTAGTAATACTCTTGTTACATTAAAAGATGTTTATAGTGATCCTTTTTTTGGATTAAGAATTGTTAATCCAGTAGTATCTTCAGCTGAGCTAAAAGCACGTATGATTGATAAAACACCAGTAACAATATCAAAAGTCAAATATCATCTTTCTTCAGAAAGAGCAGAGAAAGATTGGGTAATTGCAGGAGTATTGATAAATAAATCTCTTCCAAAGACTTCTCAAAAGGGAAATTCATATGCTATATGGAAAATAAGTGATTTATCTGAAAATATGAACACTGTGTGTCTTTTTATGTTTAGTAATGCATATAAAACTCTTTGGAAAACTACTATTGGAACTGTAATAGGTGTCCTTAATCCAAATGTTTTAGAATCTAAAGATAGTACTGATCTAGCCACATTATCCACTGATAATCCTCAGAAAGTTATGATTCTTGGTAAATCTAAAGATATGGGAAAATGCAGATCAATAAAAAAGAATGGAGAACCATGTAATTCTATTGTAAATATTAGCCGTTGCGAATTTTGCTTGTATCATATTAAACAAGAATATAAAAAATGTTCATCAAGAGCAGAATTACAATCATTCAGTAATACACAAAAGTTTTCAATAGATATGTTTAAGAATAAACCGCAACAACCGCGAAAACCACTTTACGATAGTATGCCCGAATTTATTGGTGTTGTTGCTGTAAAAAGTAAAAAATTAGAAGAAAAAGATGCTAAACGGTTAGCATTACTTTCAGGTAGCCAAAAAATGGAAAATTCAACTTGTACAAATTTGGGTAAGGCAAATGATAAAATTACAAAAGCAGAAACACCAAAGCAACAAATAAAAAAGGATTCTGAACAAATGAGGGAATCAAGAGGCTGGAAGGCTACTGCATTATCTCAAGCATCTTCTCATGATAAAATTATATCTCTGTCACCTACATTATTAATGTCAAAATCCAACAATCAAAATAATTCAGGGGAGAAAAATTTAAGTATGCTTTCTTCTGTATCTTCAAGTCCGCGTTTAGGTATTGGCTGTCTTGGGGGAACAATAGATTTGTCAGAACCTATAACTAAAAAACAAATGAATGTAGCTAAAAATAACGCGCTTAAATGGGTAAAAGAAAATGGAAAAATTAAGGCTAAGAATCCTAACAAAGTACGTTTAAATAAAGAAGAGAAATTAGAAAAAGGAAAAAAAAGACCAAGAGAATTGGAAAATAGCGATGAACCGGACACAAAGAAATCAAATGTTGTGTCTGACAAATTTAAAGAAATGTTGCAAGTTAAATCTGCTCATACAGATCTTATTGAAAAATCTTATGAGCAGGAGAAAGAAAAGTACTTCAATAAGTTAGAAATGAAAGAAAGAATGGAAGAAAAAATGTTAACTACTTATAAGGTCCCCTGTAAAGCTGTTAAATGTTTACTGTGTAAATATACATCATTTTCTGCTTCTGAAATATGCAAAGAGCAGAAGCATCCATTGCGTGTTAGTGATGCAGTAAAGAGATTCTTCAAATGTGCAGATTGTGGAAACAGAACAGTAAGTTTGGACAGAATACCTTCGCATAGTTGTATAAAATGTAGCAGTTCAAATTGGACAAGAGCTGCAATGATGGATGAAAGAAGAACAAAAGTTTCTGTCTCCGCGTTATCGATACGTGGAGACGAAGAATCTTACCTAGGATCAAGTATTAAAGATGCCAATCTTAATCTCTTGATACCAGAGACAGATGACAAGTAATATCAAGTTATAAATATTTTTAAAATGTTATAAAAGAGTGACATCTTTTTATAAAATTTTAGATGTATTTAACTTTTATACTGTATCTTATAAATACAGATAATTCCGTTTGTTTGTTTTTATTGTCCTTAAAATCAATATTTTTGTACTGTATTAAATATACAAATATAAAAAAATCCTAATGGTGTAATTGTCATATGTATATATATAAAAATGTAATTTAGGTTTTTACAACAGTAATGTTATTTTAAAAGCATTTAAAGAAATAAATACATTTAGCTCTATCCATTCAAATATACATACTAAGCAGAAGTATTTCAATACAACCAGGTGTAAAAATGGTATAAAATACATCCCACTGAATAGTTCTTTTTTATTATGTTATGCCAATCTCTTTTCACCAATATGATTATAATTTAATAATGGATTAAAAAGGATAGTTTTTTTTATTCAACAGCACCTCATTGTATAGGCGAATATATCTCACCGATAATTTAAAGCATATTTTCTTTTGTTATTTTATATAAGTAAAATCTACGTATACGTATAAAAAGGGAGAGCATTAACAAAAATGTAAAAAGACGTTATAATTGGAACCCGGAAATATCCCCCATTGTGAAACCATCACAGAGCAGAGGCTAAAATTTATTTTCCCATTTCATTAGTATTCTATCTCCACCATTATTCACATGATAACATTACAATTTTAAAACATTTTTAACAGTATTATTATTATTATTATTATTATTCTAAGCGGCCCTGTGAAAACATGTCATTGTGACATTTTCGGGTTCTAATAGCAACTTGTTTGCATGAGAAACATAGACTGTATTTTTCACTTCTTCATATTCTATTCTATTCAGATTCTTATTAAATTTTGATATTAACGATACGTCAATTTTCTCGTGTATAAATTTTGTGTAATGCGTATGTGAAAAAAGGGAGATTGGAAATAATGTTTAATGATTGAGAAACATCTAATCTTTCTAAAGAAACGTACGAAAATATTTCATTATTGTTGAATTTACAAAGTTTGCATTGTTTTAAATTCTATATTATTCACAGGAAAATAATAGTACAATTGTAATTGATATTGATCACCATGTACACCAGAAATATAATAAAAATAAACATAAAACTTGTTATACATATATAAATCAATTATTCGAAAGCAGAAACAATTATATAGGTGAATTAATAGAATCGATTCTTTTAAGGCAACATTTTTCTTTGCAATAAAAATGTTTTGCCGCATAGTTTGTATTTATTGTAAATTATCGTTTCGTCATGATGAATCATTATTTCAATATCCCTCTTTACCACTTCACAAAACATTTGTAATAGAACTTGTATCATGGTACGGCCAACATTTGTCATGTAATCTTGGAATTCATATTTCTACTATATTCTCGCATTCACTTCAGTGAATACAAGTTAAAATCTTTAGGACGAGCATAGCACGAGTGTACTTTACGCGTATAATACATACAAAATATGAGGTATTAAATCCGTATTTTGAAAAGTTTGATTAAGCAAAAACATAACGATTACATCTTTGTATTGCCTTGCTAGATAAAAAATAACATTTGAAGGAACAAAAGTATTTTGCTAGAGCAATACAGGAGAATAAGATTGCCAAAAATTATAAATCTGTTAGCAGATTATACAACTATGCTTATGGAAGAGATCATAGGCAAGCCATAATCTAAGTACGTCATTGATTTGTTTAAATGAGATGTACGAACGACATCTGTTTTTCCTTTTATGCGTTCTTTTGCAGACTCGCTTTCTCTGTTTTCCTCTTACCTTGCAAAAAAAATTAAAAAAAAAACAACTAAAGATTACACGGCATTTCCTAATCTCTTTCAAACGTTTTCCGTATTCTTACAGAACTAGAACTTGCATACTTAAAATAAACTTCTGCTATGCAGAAGAAATAATCGCACCGATATAGTAATAAATAATTATCTAAATTCCTATTGAAAGAATGTTACATATAAAAATTTAAAGAAATATTAAATTGACATTTAACATTTCACTGCCTTGAAGACAATACACAGATACAATACTTTAAACCATCATGTTTTGGAATTCGTTGTGCACATACCATAAGCCAGATCATCTTTTGCTGAACGTTCTATTTTGATGAAGTTTTCGTAAAGCTTTAGCTCTGCGTCACATACGGCGTAATAGTATAAATAATCTAGTTATACTATTAATTAACAATACATTATTTTCACCAAAAGATTTACAACATCCGCGAACCTTTCTTTACTATACAGCGACATTTCATAAAAGATACTTCACCAAAATTGCACGTTTCATTTTTCTCATTTATACATACATATTATTGTTTATTACAAAGGCATCATATGAATAAGCAATTTAAATTAATAATGTTAAAATAAATTTTGTAATATTTTCAATAACTGCCACTTAAATATTGCACAAGATATTTCTTTACTAATGGAGTGCACCGTTGTAACAATCAAAAAGATATATCTTGATACACTTGCGGAGCATTTGTTATATACAACTGTGAGTGTACAAAATATAAGAGTCGAGAGCCAGCAAAGTTAATGTAGATACGAAAAATCATCTCTTATATGTTTATATGTGTATCACTCGATGAGACGGAAAGATTTTATTTTCCTGGGATATTACGCGATCTTAACTTATGTCTAAGGCAACAGTGCCATTAAAAATTTAAGTCTATGTACAGAACTCTTCATTATTCATATGAATTTAGTAGTCGGTATAGAATGCACGATACGCAACTTCAAGTTTATGATAATCAGTTTATTACAGCTTATCCATGATTGTATCTGAACAAAAATAACGCTACATTCGTTCGCTGCTCGAATACCTCTTTTTTTTTTATCATAAGATTCATTACGAGATGACAAACATCAATTTGATACAAAATTATGATGCCTCAAACCGTGTACTGTACAAACATATTCAGCACTGTAACGCGTGTAATTATTTAAATAAATCCATGTGAATAATTAAAGAATGTAACTGTAATATAAGGTAATGTTGTGTGAGATAGGCAGGTATCAAGCTGGCTTAATTAAGTGTCACAGTCTTCGAGTTGCCTTTTTTCTTCATGGACATGGATTATCGGCGCGCCACGTGTTGTGCTTCTCACCTTTGTGTATCGATTGTGAAATGCTCGAATGAATTCTAATGAATAATTTCATGATGTGTGAGTTGCATCATATGATAAATTTTATAAACATGTCCTTCTATGTGCTTCTTGAAATATGATGCAAGGGAGAACATTTAGTTATGTTTTCCTCTGAAGCTAAAAGAACTGTCTGTCGAGTCACGGATTTAATAGTCATCCAGATCAAAAGTATCAACTTCAACATCATCCAACTGCATACTCTGAAAGTCCACTTTGTACCGTAATATACCTGTAAAATACATATTTGGAAATACTATGTTAGTACACAAAAAGTTTAATACTATATACTTTGTTATCATGAACTTATGGAAATAATATGGAAGTATTTTAATAATACAATACAAATGATGCTATAGAAAAAAAGTTTCATGAGCAAATTAATAAAACAGAATTTGCAATTAATTATCTGTAGAAATATGATGACAAATAATTTTGATGTAATAATTATTAATCATGCATAATACATTGTTTACAGTGTTTTTCAATAAAATTTTAGTAATTTTAAAGCGCAATGAAAATATATTTTATGAAAGTTGATTAAGATATAATTTGACAGCAATTGATATTTAAGAAAAACACTGCTAATAATTGATAATTATACAATGCAATTAAAAAAAAGAGAAAAGATTGCTATCATAATATTGTATAAATGATATACAGAAATATATTAATAACATTGGTGTAAAGCAAGTGAGTGTTATACATGTAATGAATACCACAATTTCAAAACTGTAATTAAAGAAATTGGTTCTACTTTGTAAATTTATTAGAAATGAAAAAGAAGCAATTAGTTCTAAAATGGTTATGAAAATAGTGACTATAAGAAAATTAGGACTCAGAAAGTAAAAGACACACCACGTAAATTAACAAAAATACTATGAAAATTAACAATTTATGTTAAACAATATTACTAAATGTTAGCAATCTTACTAATAAAGAACATAATGGAATAAATTTAATAATGTAACAGTAATAACTAAATCTTTGTAGCACTGCTAATGAAAAATAAGAAAAATCTATTTTAGGAAATAGAATGTTTTATATGATGTATAACATTCTAAAGCAAAAAAAAAACGTGTTTAATTATAAGAAGTGCAATAATAGGGCTTAATAAAGTATCAATTTCACTGCTTTTCCTTTCACTAAATTAGTAAAAAGCAATTACTATACCTTTCCCAATATGCAAGCTAATAGAAACAAACCATCAATTAGTACTTATGCTTGATCAAATACACTGACTATTTAATAAAGCCTAGCTATTTATTACATAAACAATGATTATTTAATTACATTTTACATTCATCATCAAAGATTATGTACATTATGCTACTTTTTTCTAGAAATATTATTTGTTTTAAATATTCTTTAAAGTTTATCCATATTTTATCTGTGATGATGAAATCAACATTTGCCTATTGCATAACATGCAGCAAGCAACATTTGTGATTATCCCTTTATACAAGCAGTAACAAGGCATTTCTATATGAATATACATATACATATACAAT